TAACTTTTTAATAATAATTCTTTATTTAATATAATAATCCAAAAGTTACATCCTTTTTTAGCGCTATTAAAACTGTGGCACTGTGCCGAACCTTTTATCGATCCAAAGGCACACCCTGGTGCATCATGGTCACTGTCACATTAAAGCTGAACTTAATCTCTTATCCGATGGTTTAGATACGATGTACACGATTATCTAATTTAATAATTATTGCTATGTCACAGTTAAATTAGTGAAAAGAATCATTTAATTAGAAATTACTTCACAAAATAAAATGATCGTGCACAGCGATCGTGACATTTATGGACAAATATGGACATTTTATTTAAAATAGATTAATTAGTTTCCATTATCTAATTTAGCTATTATCGAAATAATTATTGCTGCTACTTTGCAGCTGTCGTTATGTATATTACGTAATGTTACAGTATCTTCTCAATGATAAAACTTGTCATATCAAATATATGTAATTATACAAATGTAAAATGTATTAAAATAATTGCACATTAAAATAATTGCACATTACAGTAATTGCACATTACAATTGCAAATAAAACATTGTAAATTGTTTTTTTATTATATGAATTTTATCTTTGCAAAATTCCATAATTCACCATGCTGCCCATAATTACCCTTATAATTAAGTTTGTCTGTATAACAGGACCAATATCGTGGGTGTTTTGCGAATCACCACATCGCAACACGTGTTAATTGTTTTTCTGCGCAATCCGGAGCGCAATTCGAAAACACCTAGTTACAGGTGACGGCACCGGGTGATATCGATTCTGTACCGCACGCGGTTGTATCGAAAATGACGCTGACGAGTGTGTGGTACGTGATACACTGGTTGGAATATCCGGTGAGATTCGCTCTGTTTCGGAACCAACTGTCCCTTCCCTCTTCCATCCGAGCTGTATCAGGCGACACCGATATACAAGTCGCTTGCTTACATGTGCATTGCACATTGAGCTGCTCTTTTCCTTATAAAGGATTCTCGTAAACGGTACCAAAAAAGAAAGTTCAATTTTCGTGAACCAGTTCTCCATCACCTCGTCATAATATTATATAATATGAATTTTTTTATATAAATATGAAAAAGTAGTATTATAGTGTAGTATTATCAATTTTATTATATATATGTGAAATATCGCATACAAAATTATTACTTCTTAATTATTTATTGCTTTTAAGAATATTTTTTAATAGAAAAATGATTTTATATTTATTTATGTATGTATTTAATTTATTATATGCTCGAAATTAATTATATTATCCTTATCTCTCTTTAATTTTAAGATGCATGAGTTAATTTTTTCGCTGTAAATAAAACTGATAATTTAATAATATTGAGAGTAATATGAGAGCCAATATTACATTGGCTTACAAGATTAAGTAAATTTAAGTTGAAGCCACGTTTTCGACCGACATGGTACAAGTTATTTTGGGAATTTTAAAGAAGCTACATGAGTCATTATGTTATGAGAACAGCTCGGACGGTTCTTTTTCGCCATATTTCGGATTGACGATGCATATTTTCAACGTTTCATAATCGTTTTGTAAATCAATTGACAATTGTTATCAGTGAGAAGAATATAGCAAGCTAGGTACTAATTTAATTGACATCACACATGTTAGTTTCGTTGTCAGTGAAAATCGAGAATGAATAATCTCCTTGACTTCAGGTAAAGATATTCTGGCATTAAGTCAACCGACATGAATCAACATTTGCAAACAACGAAAATTTATTAATGACAACTATAAATTAAATATACGTTTATCTTTCTGAACATTTATCTTTCTAATCTGGAATTTTTTAATACTATAAAGATTGCTATTACAAATGCTTTTAATTTATTTTTTATATATAACTTAATTTATTCTATTTCATAGGTTTTTTTTCGAAATCTCTTAAAGCTATTTAATTTTTGAGTGTCCAATGCTAATTAAATAAAACCGCGATGCTAATTTTTAATAAAGATGAATTTAGAAGATTCTTAACAAAACTTCAGTCAACTTAACAAACTACAGCTTTGGGACTTTAAACATTGGATAAGATTAAAAAAAAAGTTCTTAAATCTTTAACACTTTACAATTTTTTATATAATTTAATCCTTTTTTAATTTAATACTGCTACTGTAAAAAAATTAACTTTCAGCTTTACAGAAGCATTCACAAAATTCTTCTGAAATCTTAATTTTTAAAGGATTGCGAAACATTAAAGCGTTGTGTAGACATCACGAAGGCGCGAGCATGAGAGCAGAATGTTAGATGTTGCAAGCCTAAAAATATGTCGACTATACGCATCATAGTTCACGCGAACGAGAGGGATCGTGTTTTACATTTAAAAATGAATTTGGCAATGTGCCAATGATACATCCGAAAAAAATCTTCCCTTGCACAAAGACACGCGATTCAGAAATTTTGACGCACGAGTTTGGTTATTAAACGTGTTTGGTTCGCGTAAAATGAACCACTATCATTCATCGAGCCAGAAAATATTATAATAACAAACCTTGAAAGTAGTATTGGCAGGATGATGTACGTCGCCAGAACCAGATAGCCCTCCTCGCAATAAACGTGACAGAAGATTGTAGCGACCTAATGTCGACCACGCGTCTTTGGTTGCTTGTACAGGATAGCTAAGCAAAAATTTGTTTTTTTTCTTTAGTCTAAAGTACATGAAAAAATGTTACCGAAGAAGCGTTCATACTGAATAAAAGAGAGTAAAGAAAAAAGAAATCATGTATTTTATCTCCGAATCTAGATTCATTATTAGAATACCAAGATTTCATGAATATTGTAATTCACTTCATCAGAACAAGGTCAGAAGCAGTCTAACATTACATTTATTGTACGATAAATTTTTTGAGCGTGTTGTTTGGCTGCAGGAAAGATTCTCAGACCTCTCTATCCTAATAAATTTGAAAAATTTATCGTAAAAATTCTGTCTGTGATAAAAACGGACAAATGTAACATTAGCCTGATACAATATAGATCAGATTGTTATCGCTCTAAGTGAACTAAACGTTGGTATTCTAATAATGGATCTAGACATGTAGATAACTCATGAAAAGCATAACTTCTGTATAGAAAGTGCAAGTCTCAAAAGCATTAAAAAAAAAAATTAATACCAATTTGTTTTTCAATAATTAAATATTGATATGAGACAACTTAATTAATTGCTAAAGAAAGATTTAAGAGATCAAGTTGATTATTTTTCTGTAAATTATTCAAGGACTGCTTCGCAAATGTCTGCTTTATAGGTTCATTAAATTTATGTTGTTTTAATTCTTCTTATCTTCTGAATTGACTCATCAATTCTGTAAATCTAACTAATTCCAAGGAAGTAAAGTATAATATTTACAATTAAAAAGAAAAATTTCTATTACACAATCTCTCTCGAAACAATGTGATAGCGCTGATGTTTCACATGTTATTCGCCTCATCTCGTATCGCAAAACAAGCGCAAAACTTATTACAGGAATTAGAGCGTGACGGCTTACCCTTTCGCAAATTTATATGTTTTTGGTGGACGACCCTCTTCGACGATAGTTTTTACGTAGTAATACGAATAATTCGACATTTGTTTCGTGTTATAGAGAGTCACGAGGAATACAAAGCGAGGACAAACGGGATATAATCGGGATACGTGCAAGGCCGGAGTTCCATGCGCGAATTGTCATCCAACGCGAATCGGACTGTCAGTCCTCTTTCCTTCGCTGCGTGTTCGTATATGCACGCTTAGTCTGATACTGTGCCGTCGTTTATGCTGTGCTTATTTACTCCGCATACTCGGGCATACTCCGTATGCACGGGCATATATATAGCCGCGCCGCCGATGTTACTGAGAAAACTATAACGCTTTCCGAGATGTGACAATGCTGGTGTCCACTGTGTCCAGCGCAGAGATCTCGTTGCCAGCGCGTTGCACAATGCAAATGTTCCTGAGAATACGTCGACACCAGAAAATGTACAAAATAGGAAGAATGGGAGAGATAGCCAACATTATAATGCCAACTTGTTCTTCAATTAGAGTTCACCTGAACAGCCGTCCAGGTTCAATGTGATGTACCATTTTCGATTGATTTATAAATAAATTAAGAGATATAAAAAACGGTCAATCATTTTTTTAAAAGAGATTTTTGTATGAGAGACATTGAAGGGTTTTCCCATAAGGGGAAGAGCTTGAAATTTAATTATTTATCGAGTTTATGAGATTCTAAATGATTTTATGATTATCGAAGGGAAGTATGAAGTAGTAATGCACTACCTTTCATAAACACGCCTTTATTACGTTTCACGTACAGATACATAGGCTGACTTTCATACGCTACGCGCACGTAAAATACGTCGTCGTTGTAAGAAAAATAAAAAAGGGCTCATGCTCTTTTTATTTCCTTTCTTCCCCCCCACTTTCCTATTCCCTAAGACGCATTTATCGCTGCTCACTTTACGATAGTGATGGTGCACCAATGAGGAGTTCATAGATCGTCGCCTCTTTGGTTAGAGAGAGTCACGAGGTAGACGAGCCTCAGCCTACGGAGATTTTTTTACATCGATATTACAGTGTAACATTTTACTTGACAGCCATAGTACCCTTCATATCCGTATTAATTCCGTCGAATCCTTAATCGTGTAAATAAATAGGACAATACGGCTGTACTGTCTTCAACCAGGGATTTACTTTATGTCGAAGACAAGACTACTCGCATTTCTTAGATGATTTTTAAATGTCAAATATATGTACATCACAAAAACATTTTTCCCAATCTGTAATTTCCAAGTATGTATCCACGTTTTTAACGTTGATTTTACGAGCTACATATGTCACTCTGATTAATTCGAAGATCCACGTTAACGAGTGATTCAATAATTTTACAAATTTCTGCCCCATCGCTATCACGCAATTAGGAAGTTCACTTGACGAGATCATCTTGCAAAGTATATGGTTGTATATATGACGCTTAACGTATTGAATACATGTTTACGTATCTTTCGTCTTCTCCGTATGTACATAATTCGCTTGTTTTGCGTTCATTTATAACAATCTCTTTTCTTCCGACTTACGATAATCGCGTGTCTTTCTTATGGAAACCAATGTTCGGCGCGCATCAGAAAAGCGTCGTCTATGAAGAGAAATTTGAAGGTTTCCCTCGATTTCCATTCACAGGAGAGTCTCCTCAGAATAGTAACGACGCGAATATTCGTTGTCCTGAACCCACGGAGGCGAGGAGAGTTCTACGAGCTGCGTATCCCTTATAATCGCAGTCGTTGTGGCCGATCGTTGCAGCTGCAATCGACGAGCAACGTTGCAGCCGAGCGCGGCCGGGCAGCCTCGTCAACCCCCCTCGGATAAATCTCAGCAGGAACACTCTTCTTCCCTTGGCAGCTCGTGACCCAGGGAATCCTTTATTGCAAAAATAGAAGACGTAAAATAGAGAGTATTACATTATCGGAAAAATTGCATTTCAATAGTAGTGCAAGAAAAATTATAATCATTAATGTGCTTCCTCTAGATCTGTTTATGAATTTATTAGAAAGTAATATAGTTCAGAGAATCTTCTAAAATATTTGTAATCTCAAAAAAACGTCTTGTTAATTCGCAATCGAGGAGTTTGCACATGAAAATGCGCAAAATTATTATATATAAAATATATTGATGTACTAATTCTATTTTTCATTTTTTATTTTTCGAAATATTAATTTTTCTCATACCTATTGCATCTTTTGCAGATTTTTAAGCCTTTATATTTTTGAAATATTATTCTGTCATGTTTCATGGAAAACCCCTTGATCGTAAATATTCGAGTTTGTCGGTGGACAAATTGCGTTAAGTACCTTCGATCAAGGACCACGGTCATGTACAGATGGAAACTTTGCAGGACGTCGAATGTAGGGGAGAGGTCAAGTTACCTTCCTTAGTTCCATACTGCCCGGCGTGTATGAACTGCTCAAGCGTTGTGTTGTGATCTTCTCGTAAGGGATGGTGCCTCTGCAGAGCGCGCTTGGATCCAGACTCAGGGTTGCTTTCAAGGTATTCTTCTTCACCATACCGTTCACATTACTAACATTGGCGTTGAGGCCGATGATACGACTTGGCGAACAAGAGCGCGTGTTGGGCGATGAGTTCGTTATTGTGTCGGGCGGAGTGTCCGAGGATTGTGCTATCAGAGAATCGGAATTGGTGTCGGTAGTCGTTGTGCTCTCATTACCGTTTTTGCGATCTGTTATTGCGCTATCGATGTTGGCAGTCATATGACGTTCATCCTCTGGACGGTTGTTGCCATTGTCTACATTATCGTGGTCTTCAATATCACTGTTTCGATGTATTGCCTTGTTTTCTGGTCGATCTGATTGATCGATCCTCCTTTTGTCCTACAGAGATCATATAAATAATATACCTTAGTAGTAATTTAATTGCAATTGTAAAATAAAAGAAATATAGGATAACATTAAAATAGTTTTAAATGAAACATTTATTTTTTTTGCATTACTACTAATTGTAAGATCCTTATTCATACCGGCTTATTTTTTGCACGTCGCTCTACATTTATTTTAACTTCTAATATAGCCATATTATACAATAATAATTTATTTTAATAGATACGAGACTTATGAAAGAAGAATTATGATGGAATATAATTAAAATAAGATAATAATTAATTTAATAAGAGTAATGATTAAATACAATTAAAATAATGATAAAATTTCTAAAATTTCCAAATATATACCTTATTTTCAATCACATCGTCATCATGATCTTCATCATTGTCACTGTTGTAAATTTGTTCGAAGGTATCCATACTAGAATCACAGGTGTTGCAACTGAATCCTTGCTGACATCCCGTTGATTTTGCGTAAGACTCGCCGTATTTATCCTCGATTGATTTTTCATTTTCGGAATCGTAGGTGGTGGCACCCATAGCTTGATCTACACGACGTGCAACGGAACGTGGATCGCTGACCCTCGGTTGTATGTAATCCAACTGTCAGATAAGTTTAAAGTTCATTTTCTACACGTATGTTGAACAAAATATAATTTTTTCGTATTTCATTTTATACTGACATTAGACCGCACATTGATACATTCCGCTTCCGGATCCGGTCTCATAATTGTTATTTCACGATCGCAAATATGTGGCAATATGTCGAAATTAGGCGTGGGTTTATTTATTACATCAGGATCCTTTATAAAAAAAATATTAATTCGTAAATTATATTGCCTTAGATAATATTTCGATTAAATAATAAGAATAATTTTATTGTAACAGAGATATATAAAGTTTATAACAAAAGCAATATAGTTGAAATTCCTATTGCACTCTCACCTGTAAACAATAACCGATTCTTTCAGCAATCGTAGAGAAACTTGGCCTGTCGTCAGGCCGTGGATGCCAGCACCGCGTCATGATTCCATATATAGGATCTGGGCATCCCGCGGGTTTCTCAAGACGACCACCAGACTGTACCATCGACATGACTTCACGATTTGCACATCCGGTGTAGGGCATATATCCAAATGACATAATTTCCCACAGGAGCACGCCGAAGGCCCTAAAAATTATATTATAAGAAATAAGAACGTTATAGGTTTTACTTCTTTTTTATAATTTACATTAATGTGACAATTCTTTTTTCGACTAGAATTTGACATATCAATAAAAATAAATTATATATAAAAATGAAAAAAAAAACGTGCATATTTAAAAAAAAATTGTATAGGAATATTGATAATTATTGAGAATGACATGTTTTTTTTTTTAAGCAAATATGGAATACTAAGTCTCACCAGACATCAGTTTTTGTAGTGAATATGCCATCCAAGAAACTTTCGGGTGGCATCCATTTTATGGGTAGCATCGCCTTGCCACCTTTCCTATAATAATCGCTTCGATAAATGTCCCTGGCCATACCGAAATCTGCGATTTTAACGGTACGACCCGGTGCTTTAGTTGTCAATAAACAATTCCTAGCGGCGATATCTCGGTGTATAAAACGCGCTTCCTCCATATATTTACAGCCGTTTGCGACGTCATAGCCGCACATAATAAGATCTAGCATTGTCAATGATGTAGGTCGGTCCTGTAAAATCAAAGATATATATACATATATGTAGAAATTAGATAAAAATACGAACATTAATAGAAATATTTGAATAAACCACATATTTTAAAGTAGGTTCAAAATTAAGAACTATAAAAGAATACAGTGCAATATTTCAATCTCGCTTTTCTCTTAAATTATAATGTTGTTATAATGTTATAAATACTCACTGATCGAGGCCGTTCTTCACGTAGAAAATTCTTAAGGTCGCCTCCGGCTAATAATTCGAGAACGATGTATCTGGGATGTTTGTCAAAAGAGACGCCGATAAAGTGTACTATATTCGGATGATTAAATTTGCTCATTATTAACGCCTCCATCATGAAATCAGCTTCTGCTTGCGTCGTGGATAAAGATGGTAGCGTCTTGACGGCGACGGGATGTTCATCACCTCCGTATTTGTAAACGCCCTGGAAAACTTCGCCAAAGGCGCCTTGGCCGAGAGGTCTGCATTAAAAATATAATCGATCATTCTTACTTTATTTCACACAATTAAAAAAATTAAGCTTTTCTTTTATTTTTT